CCATGGCCGACAAGTGGCTCGTGGTCTTACCCCTGCCCATGTCTCCCAACTCTGCCCACATTCACTGTGCTCAGCCCCACTCGCTCCTGCCGCAGCCCTCAGCACCCGCTGCTTCTTGCACCTGGGACAGTCTCCCCCTGGCCAAGCCTTATCCTTTGGGTCTTAGCCTCAGGTGTCCAAAAGGCTGTCCCTAGTCTTCCATTAGGAACTCTGGTGTGCTTGAGACATTTGACTGCTAACCAGAAGGCTGGTGGTTCGCACCCACCAGCCACTGCCCCACAGAAGGAAGACTGGGCCATCTACTTCCGGGAAGGTTCAGTGCCTCGGAAACCCAGCGGGGGTTGCTTTGAGTCGGAATCGACTTGATGGCAGTGGGTTTGGTTTTTTGTGAGTCGTCCTGTTGGGAGGTGATTTCTTCCACGGCACGCTGTTCTCTTCCGTCACAGCAGTTTCCTATCGGACATTTGTGTGTGTGATGGCCTGTTCCGTTCCTACACCACGAGGGTCACGCAGACAAGCACTGGGTCTCCTTGGTTGTCGTCAGCAGCCGTTTCACGGTGACCCCGTGTGTGATGGGATCAGACTGCTGTGCTCTGTTGGGTTGTCTTTCTTGCTTTGAACCTGTAGCAGCTTTATTTATAATTGCAAGAGTCTGCAGACAGCCCAAGTGGGTGAATCAGCAAGCTGAGGTGCATCTCTATAATGGAAGCCATGCAGCAACAAAGACAGACTGACTTGTTTTTCGTACACTCGTTGTCAAGTGGCTGCTGACTCATAGCGACCCCCATTGGGTTTCTGAGGCAGTAAATCTTTGCAGAAGTAGATTGCCCAGTCTGCTTTCCCTGGAGTGGCTGATGGGTTTGAACTACCAACCTTTGGTTAGCAGTCAAATGCCTTAGGCACTGTACCACCAGAATACCCCCCCCGTGTGTGTGTGTGTGTGTGTGTGTGTGTGAGATTGGGGTGAAAGCTTAAGAGGAAATTCATTTTCTGTACAACAGCTGATACACGTTTTGTTTCATGACATTGATTGCAATCCCCAAAACGTAATAACTCTTCCCACTTCCTCCCTGTGGTTACCTTTCCCCTGTGTTCTTTCCCATGCATTCCTGCCCTCTGAGCTGTCTCCCTGTGCAAACACTGCCCTTCTGTTCTCCCACGACTGATCTGATCCCTCTAAGGAGTGTACCTACCTGATGTAAATGTCCACCCTATATGCCCGTCTGTTGTTTGGCTGGAAGCTACAGGAGTGAGTTCAATTCCAGGCCCAAAGTGTGACTAGAGGCCATAGTTTCAGGGTTTCACCAGGCTCTATCAGACCAGTAAGCCTGGTGTTTTTTATGATTTTAGGTTTTGTTCCACATTTTTCTCCTGCACTATCCAGAATCTCCTATTTTGATCCCCTTCTGAGTGGTTGGAGCTCTGGTAGCATAGTGGCTAAGGCACTTGACTGCTAACCAGAAGGCTGGCGGTTCAA